GGGGGGCTTGACAATGAAACTAGTGGAATTAGAAAAGATTGTGTTCTCTGAAGGAAGCTTGTGAATTATAGTTCTAATTTGCAGAGAGTATGTGTTTAAGAAAGAAAAGGCAATGGGCTTGGAGCAGAAGACAAGAATTTGAATGTCAGTTCTTCCCTGAGCATTGGGAGTGGTGAGTATTGCCTTCCTCAGATCGTTGTGAGTTCAATGAGAGAACTAATGTGATACACTTGAGCACAAAGCTTGGCACAGTAAATTCTCCATCAAGACTTGAACCTGTCTGCTTTGCTTCTCATTCCCAATCAAGGTCCAGAAAAGTTCCTGTCCACAGCTTTATTAAATTTGTATTCACCTGGTGTTGTAAAAAATGACTTTTAATTATTCAAGAGGTATAGGAACATTTGGCTTCTAGTTTGTGAGAGTTTTTCTTCCCCCATCCTCTCAATGTTCAGTCCCCAGATCCAGAGAGGGACAAAACATGGGGCAAGATCAGAATATAAATCACCATTCAATCCTGCTCAACCGTTTAACTCTTGCAGTGGTCCCTAAAAGAAAAAAGGAATAAGATCTCTTTGTGCTTCCATGATAATGCCCATAGTTGTTACTTCTCTCACAAAATGTTCCCTGGAATAAGTAAATAAAGCCAATACAGACAACACTTTCAGACTTGGATACCATGCAGGCAAAAGTACACCATCCCACACTGATACTTCTCTCTCATGAAACTAAACCCTGGGACAGTAAGATGTGGCATGGCTTTAAAACTCAGTGCACCATCGTTGTTAGCACAACCAGCTGTTAACAGAAAGGTCTGAGGTTTCAGCCTACTTAGGGATGGTCTTTTCTCCAGCCAGTTTCTTGGTGGTAAAAGTGTTATGGAACTAACTAGAGGTGATGGTTGCATAACATTGTAAATGTACTGAATGCCACTGAACCGTACTGAATTGAATGTTAAAATGGTGAGTTTTAGATTGTGTGTATTTTCCCAAAACAAAAATAAGACTCCATAAAGAAGCATTGGAGGATGCATTTTCTGTCCCTGAGTTTTTCTTCCTGACATGTGTATGTAGTATGCCCTGATATCTGAGTGCCTATAAGTCTGTCTAGTTTTAAAAAATCTCTGGTCTGAGAGTTCTACTCTAGCATTTTGGCATTACTCAGGAATATGTAATTTATTCACATCCCTGTTTAGATGGGATTAAGAATTGTATTAACTGCACAGACACATTGATCTTGTAAAATTCTTTGGCATTAGCACATATTTTGCCTAATCTAGAAAACTCTCCTACCCAAAGGGCAAGGCTAGGAATGGGATGTATGTCTGCTCTCTCCAAACACTGTACAGCTTTCTTAATAAATGGGAAGAAGAAAAAGGGGGAGTGGGTCTTAAGAGTGCAACTGAACCAGTCCTGGGATTCTTCTGGTAGCCAGCTCCACTTTCCAGCATGGCACTCAGGACTCTCAGTTCTTCTCCATAAAGTCAGTACTGTTTTTCTATAAGGCAAAGGTCAAGAAACGTAACAGGTCTTTAACACCTCCACAAGCACAGAGTAGGAAAAAGACAGTAACTGGGAAAGACTCAGAAGAAGGAGTGTCTGCCAAGCAGTCCTTGAGGCAGAGGGTAGTGAATGCCTCCCAAGGAAAGGCTTCAGCAGAATCCAAGGATGCGTCAGGACCGGCTCTGGCAAGCAAGGCAGACCTTGTATACCACACGGTAGAGGAATGTGCTCCCTGGGCAAGTTTGTTTTTTTTCTCACTCTAGCCAGATTTCAGCTGCTCCTGCTATATCATTTCTTTCCAGAAAGACGAAGGCTTGTGAAAGATAAACAAGGCTATGACGATCACTGCAACCAGGATTGAGGAGAAGAGGATCATGAGGAAGACATAGGTGGAGTGAGAGAAAGGCTTGGACAACGGCTGCTCAGCTGGGATCATGTTGGTCAGGTTCAGCATGTAGCCCAAAGTCCACCCGGCGTCACTGCCACCGACCTGAAAAGAGTGGAGAAAGTCTGCTGTTTGTTGTCTGTGGAGATAACCTATAGCACAAACAGCAGGAAGATGGCACCACTTTTAGTTCTCTAAATGGATTATTTTTTGCTCTAAACTGGGAATAATGTTGTGGGGAAAATGGATCAAGTGATTAAGAAATAGTGTTGGGAGCCTCACCACTGTATTCCCAAAGTTCAGAAAGGAGTTTGGTGAATGACTTCCCATTTCTTCTGCATAGAATTTAATTCAAATATACCTTTAAGTCTGCATTCTAGTTTTCTTGTTTGTGTGAAAGTGGGGATGAGGAAGAGGAATGAAGGAGATGCTGATAAGAAACCAGCAAAATGATAAGGGTATAATAACTGTCCCTGGCCTTTCACATCTTTGTCAGGCCCAGGAAACTCATCCTTACAAAACCAGGACTTAATGATTCAACTAAGGCAAAACTTTGGAATAATCCCAGCAAGTCAATCTTTCTTTATGGGAGCTGGGAAACTATGCATAGGGATGGATAAGAAAGGACTCTTACTACATGATAAAACATGCTCTGTCATGTATCTCTTAAGACATTTCTACAGTGTCACTGACATGAACTGTTTACACATTCACTTTGTTTCATTTTATCCATTTATAAAAGTTTTATAAATTTATAGATAAAAGATTGATAAATTTAAAATCTAGCAATGGAGTAACTAGACAAAATGATATGCACATGTTCTTAGCACATGTTTCCAAAACAGTCTTCCAAAACGCTGTACCAATTTACATTTCAATCAAGATCATGAAAATTCCTCTCTTCCCCAAACCCTTACCAATATTGGGAATTGGTAATTTGTAAAAGATTCAATTCCCTATGTGAGGGATGGGAACTTACCAAGGAAAGCTTTAGAGTTAAAGAGTTCATCAGCTAGGGCTTAGAAATACTGGGTCATGCATCAGAGATCAATCATAAATTTGACTTAGTCATATTTTTCAAGCAAAATAAGCTGATGAAATGGAAGGAAGTCTGGGATTTTAAAAACAAGGAATAGATTTGAATTTGAATCAGTAAAATCAGTACTGCCAAAAGTGTAATGATCACTCTTGTATTCTGGGGGCTGCTACAGCCCTTTGCCCCAATTTGAATTGCAGTCATATTTAATAAGGGAGTAATTTTTTTTTTTTTTTTTTTTGCCATTAGTGGACACATGAGTTTTAAAAAGGTAGAGGAAACATTGCTTTTGACATGTTTAATCAAGTGTGAGTCACGCAGCTCATGTGCATGTTTTCTATTCATGGCTACCTGCAGGTGGTGCTGTGGTAAAGCACAACAGTGAGGGTGCTTCTTCAGATGGGCTCACACTCATCTTGGCTCCCAGGTCACAGCCCCTGGCAGGCAGGGGCACTTAGTCTCCTGCCTTGAATACCGCTTTCAGGCTGGTCAATCTTGATGTAACAACCAACAAAGCCTTCCCCCTCTTACAAGAAACCATTATCATGTGAGGTTGTTAAAGTCAGCACACAGAATCATTGTGGCTACTGAAATACTGTTACATTCTTTAATATTTAATTTTTTGTTTTATAAATAATTGGTCACCATTCTACAACAGAAGGACACAAATGGAAATGCAGGTATCTCTTTTTAAGAGGATGCCCACAGCTGATCAACATACCCAGAAGGCTTGACACAAACTCCAACTTGGGTTAAAGGTAGAATTGCAGCACAGAACATCAGGCCAAACCTTAAGTCAGGTTGATTTCCACCTCTTTTTTTTTTTTTCTCCCAGAAAGCTATTATTCAAGGCATACAAACTTCATGCATCTCATAAATACAACTTTAGGAACATAGTGATTCTTCCCATCATACCTGCCCTCCCACCTGTACTCCCACCCTTCTTCCTCCTCCCTCTCCCATTCCCATTTTTATTTTCCCACCTCTTTCAAACCCAGAGTTGTTTCAATCACTACGCTAAACTTCCCTCAACCCAACGGATAGCCAAATTTTACCTTGCCCATGAAATCAATGTTCTTCCAGGAACTGGGTGTGAAATTATAGCCTTTCAGAAGGAGGGTCAGGATGTAGGTGCCTGAAAAGCAGTATTCACTCAGGTACTTTTCCTTTACTCCAACAAAAGATGTCTTTATCTAGAAGTGAAATGAAGGAGACCTCATATTTGTACAACAGGCACCACAGCTCTGTCATTAATGGACCTGATGAAGACAGGAGAAAGTCCCTACCTCACAGGGGCCTGAGGGCTGGCCTCTCCCAGAGGGCTTCGAGGGTGGTACTGCTCTCCCTCAGTGGCTGTAGGGCATACAGTTTAGGGTCTTTGGGGTAGCTTTTCTCTCAGAGTTCTGAGCTGTTAACCAGTGCTCCATGAAAAAAGTAGTCCCTGTGGTCTTATAGGTTAGAAACACTGGATTTTAGTGTCCATTTCCATACCCTAAACTTGGAGTTCCATAATCATGTTAAAATCCATGAAAACATATTTTATGAAAGAAATCTTTGTTTCATCAGAATCTCCTAGGTATTCTCATTAAGTCCCTGGCTAGGAGCCTCTGTAACTTGCTTCAAGAGAGAGCATAACAGAGGCCTGACGCTTCCATTTAGTTCCTGAACTGGCAGCACCATCATTCCTGGGAACTTGTGAATTTTCATCCCAGAACTACCAACTCAGACTCTGCATTTTCATTTCATTCTCAGGTGCATCACAAACACAGTAAAGTTTCAGTCATAGCTGTAGGACACTGTTTAAGAAGCACTTAACTGCTAAAAGTACCAGCATTTCACCTATTTTAAAACCCTTATTAACTTCTTTATTTATTTATTTATTTATTTTTTGGCATGAGTCACACAAAGTGGTCATCTTGTTTGAGTCCCTCATCCAGTTCCCTACTGAAGATATTAAGAGCTGCCTGCCACTCCTTGTCCTTACCTCTCTTGGCTGCTGTGATTATACACCTAGGTGCCCACAGCCTGCCCTGGTTGCTGCTCCTGCCCTAATTTAGAGAACAACAGGCCAGAGCACCACTAGCTTAGCCCAGAGTTGGCTTCTTCCCCACTCTTTATAAGGCTCCTGAGATAGGCGTCCCCTCTTGGCCACACTAGGTAGAAAGAGAACTAACATTTCCTAAGCATAGATTATATACTAGGAACTATGTCAGTTGTTTTATATGTAATGTCTCCTGGAGGCCTAAATTCCTCCATTTTCTAAGATTTCTCTCCTCTCCCAAGGGACATCCCATCTGTAAACACCACTGCTAACTAGGATCTGTGTCTCGTTTGGTTGCTTCCTGCCCCCAACTTCTCTAGTCTCTCCCTACTCTGATGAAATTCTTGAAATGACTCAGTCTGGAATCTGTCTTTTTTTCTTTTCTTTTTTTTAAAGATTTATTTACTTATTTGAAAGGCATAGATACAGAGAGAGAGAGAGAGAGAGAGAGAGAGAGAGAGAGAGCTTCATTTGCTAGTTCACTCCTCACATTGCTGCAATGGCTGGTGCTAGGTTGGCTGCAGCCAGGTCTCCCACATGGGTGGCAGGGGCCCAAGGACTTGGGCCATCTGTTGCTGCTTTCCTAAGTGCATGATTAGGGAGCTGTAACAGAAGTAGAACATGCGGGACTTGAGCTAGCGCCCAAATGGGATGCCAGCAATACAGGCAGCTTACCCTTCTACACCACAGTGCCGGCCCTAGAACCTGTCTTTTCATTACAGTCCTGGAAACTCTCATTTTATTAACTCCTCTGCAGGTTCATTCTTAAGAGACCTTGATGTGGACATCAGTTGAAACGGACTATTCAGGTCTCTAGCTCTTCTTTTCTGTAACTGCATTATACTTGTTGTGGGGTAGCAGGGGGTGGAAAGATCTCTACTGCTAAATGTAGTCTTGGTGGGCCTGTCAAAGAAAAATGCCTATGGCTTACAGAGTTCTAAGAATTCACTTGGGCTCAACTTAAAACTTCTTAGCACCAAAAATTCTTAAAGACTGGCCTATCCTGGGAGTGGGGTGGGGTGGGGATGTAATTTTGGCCTAATTTCCCTGAACTCTTCAACATTCCTGTTCATCTGCTGGAAAACTGCATGGGCTATGCAGTCTGAGGGTTAATTATAGTAGTAGCCAACAACATAGATGCCAAAGGCATTCAGAACTGAGAATCGGTCATATTCATGCTTGTGGACTCATCACTATGTGCTCTTCAGATTGGGGTTGGAAGCTCACTCTACTCTCTCAAGTCCTCTTCTGTCCTCTTGAGGTTGAATATCAAGATCCACAGTCTACCGACAAATACCTAGTTATCGGTACACATAGAACCTTACAGCACTGTTCTCTTGGGCCAGCCAGGTGTTAGATGAACAGGCTTTCAGAGTAGGAAAGTGGCCACTATCTGGTTGCAGAAAGATTTTACTAACTTTATATTAATCCACCAGAAGGCAACTATGATGCATCCCTTTCACTCACTTTTCTAGTTTTGTCACCTCAAGGACTCAATGATTTGGGGTACCCTACTTATATGCTTCACAAATGTTTAGTTCTCTCACTGCCAATGGTGTTTAGAAGAGACATTCCAGGAAGCAAAGTATACCAAGTGGCAGTTCTTCCTCATGTTGGAATTGGGAGGAAAAGAAGAAAGATTTCATAACAGTATTTAACAAAACTATGCTTCCAAACAGGTGGACAGTACAGTAGGGAAGAATGAACCTAAGTCATAACACTGACCTTAACATCCTAGGCTCTGAAGCAGGCTGTGGGTCTGACCCTACAACCTCCCCTCCCAAAATGTTTCATAATTTCTCTCAAATGTCAACCTTTCTTTTTTCTTCCTCCCTCCCCCTCCCTCCCTCCCTCCCTCCCTCTCTCTCTCTCTCTTTCTTTCTTTCTTGACAGGCAGAGTGGACAGTGAGAGACAGAAAGGTCTTCCTTTACCGTTGGTTCACCCTCCAATGGCTGCCACAGCCGGCGCGCTGCAGCCGGCGCACTGCGCTGATCTGTTGGCAGGAGCCAGGTACTTATCCTGGTCTCCCATGGGGTGCAGGGCCCAAGCACTTGGGCCATCCTCCACTGCCTTCCTGGGCCACAGTGAGCTGGCCTGGAAGAGGGGCAACTGGGACAGAATCCGACACCCTGACCAGGACTAGAACCCGGTGTGCCGGCACCGCAGGCGGAGGATTAGCCTATTGAGCCTTGGCGCCGGCCAAATGTCAGCCTTTCTTCCTACTGTTCCAGGGCCTCTGAACAATTTCTCAAGTGGCTTACATGAGACCTATAAATCTGCATATAAACATGCCCAGTCTAGCATAATCAGTAAAAATAAAAATAAAAAGTAAAAATCAGGTGTGGAAGCAGACACTTAGCCTAGTTGTTAAGGTACCCACATTTTATACTGGAGAACCTTGGTTCAGTTGCTGGCTCTGGTTCCTCGTGACCTTGGAATGCAGTGGTGATGGCTCAAGTAATTGGGTTCCTGCCACCCATTTGAGAGACCTGCTTAGTTCCCAGTCATTAGAGGCATTTGAGGAATAAACCAACGGTGGAGCTTTCTCTGTCTCTGTCTGTCTCTGCACCTCTCAAGTAAATAAGAATCTGTAAAAGCTAGATGTGGTTAAGAAGGAAATCTTACATAATTTTTCATTCAGAACTATAAGTAGTTTTTTGTTTGTTTTTGTTTTGTTTTTGAAGAGCAGCCTAAACTTCCTGAGCAGCCACACTAGGCCTAGTCTCAAGCTGCCTCCACTCAAGATGCTCATCTTCCTGCACAGATCACCACCAGCTGCAAAAAAAAAAAAAAAAAAAAAAAAAAAAAAAAAAAAAAAAAAAAGAGAGAGAGAGAGAGAAAGAGGAAAAAAAGAGAAGAGAAAAGAAGAGAAGAGAAGCCTCCTGTAAGGCGGAGGCACAGTTTGAGCAGCTCGTGTGGAAGACTGACCACTTCTTTCATGTTCTAACTCCAAATACTTGGAGAGAATCCCAAACCTCCAGGTTCTTTCACAGTTGTTCTTCCCTCTTTGTCACTGCAGACAAGGGCAAATATCCACTTTTAATTACACTAGTTCTTACGAATGAAAGCACCATTCACTTTTGCAACAGTGTCAACTTAAAAACAACTGCGCTTGAACTGCCCTAGCTGATCCGCCTTTCAGAAGCACAGTGGATCCCTGAGTCTCTCCTCCCGTGAGGCTTTCATCAGGTACTGCTGGCTCTTAAATGACTCACTGCCTTGGTTAGGAACAAATTTGCATTTTAAATTTATAAAAGCATAGAAGATACCTTGTGTCTGTGCTAGGTTCTATTAATTATCCATCTTCCTTGTCACTAGGACTCTGATTAAGGAGTTGGCTGTAGGGGAGTAGTTGTATATTCTTTGCAGTGGGTTCATGATGAGTATAAAGCTCTCAGCCAGTTGTAAAATCCTGCATTTTTCTTTCTCAGCCAATCCTGGCCAATGAAATATAAGGGAAAGACTGCCAAGGGACTTCTGGGTTAGCTTTTACTTTCCTCTATAAAGGAACAGATGTACCTGGTCCTACCACTCTGACCTTGAGCATTGCAGCCGTGCCTGACGACATAGCAGTCATCTTGTGTTCATGTGGAAACAGGCATAACAACAGAACTGAAGCAGCAATGGCCGAGACAAAGTCAAACTGTTGACCCCATGCCTACTGTTGAACTTCATATTAGGTAAGGAAAATAAGACCTTATTTAAGCTTCTGCAAGTCAAGTTATCAAGGAAAGCCTATAAATTAATATTCCTTAGTCCATCATCTGGACTTCTCTAACATTTGCTGGCTCTTGGTCACACCAGTGTGAGTGGAAGAGCAGACACGTTCTCCATGCTCTCAAGGGCACAGGGCAACTGTGATAGCTGCTGTTTACAGCCTCTTACCTCCTCCCAGGGCCTAGAGCAGAAATTTACCATCGTCTTCATCGCTTGTTCTGAAGAGCTTCCTGATGTCAAGTTTAAAAAATTCATCACAAAATAAAAAGCTGAAAATGCCTACAAAAAAAAAATTGCAGAGTTTTAGGCTGTGTCTGACGTGGTGGTGTTGACTTGCTCTCCTAATGGCCATACCCCTGGTGCTAGTGCCTGGAAATCACATGACATTCCAGATCCTATGGCTGTTTCCTTCCTGGAAGAGGGCTCACCTTGCTACTGACACACATTTCTAAGCCATTTGGCAGTTGTCTGTCTCAACTGTAATGTGAGAACAAGACAGAAATAAGATTGGGAAGAAGGAAAAGAAAGAAGGGGTTACATTCCCATTTTTAAAACTGTATACATTAATTTTAAATTGACTAGAAAATTCTGTACAAAGATTTTAAGAGTTGTCTGTGAATGGAAAAATTAGAAGGTTTTAATGTGCACACTGGGAGGCAACAGTGATGGCTCAAGTATTTAGGTCCCTGCTACCCAGAAGAGAGACCCAGATTGAGAGACAGAGTGAGCTCCCATCTGCGGACTTATCCCCAAATGTCTGCCACATCCAGGCCTGGATTAGGCCGAAAGCCAGGAACCAGGAACTCAATCCATGTCCAGAACTAAACACCTATCCTTAATACCCTAGACACAGACTTTTACCAGGCCCCAAAACATCTCCCTCAGCTTGTACTTCTCTTTCCTTTTCTGATTACTAGTCAACTCCTTGATAAAGATTAAATCACTAAATTAAAGGAGTGGTACAATGCTAAGGCTGAAGTCACAAAAGAAACACTCTGGCCTCATCACTGACCAGTCATAGAAAGTCCAAGAGTTTATCATGTGCTCTTCAACCCCAGATCTGTAAGATTCACTGCGCTTAATTCCTTGGGAAACTGATAGAGGCCCTATTCTTTCTTTGCTTTATGCAGTAAAAAATAAACTGTTTTCTTCTATTACCCTCATGTCAGGAATTGGCTTGCTGCACATGAGAGCAGGACTACTTTTGGAAGTGTTTCATAACAGGTCTCCTACATGAGTGGCAGGGACTCAACTATTTGAGCCATTATCTGCTGCCACTCAGGGTGTGTATTATTAGGAAGCTGAGTTAGACTTGAATCAGAAGCAGAGTTAGACTTGAACACAGGTATTCTGATACGGGATATAAACCTCCCAAATGTGCCTTAATTACTAGGCCAAATGCCTACACCTGATTCTTATCTTACTCCACAAGTCATTGTGAAAATATCTCCAAGTCAGCTGGGGACCTCTATGAGTCTATGGTGTAGATGTATCTTAATTCATTCCACAACATCATAATGGTGAATATTCTCTTGATTTCCAATATTTTTCCCTTTGGACAATATTGCTTTTTATACCTCTGTATATTTAAAAAAAGGTTTATTATATATTGACAAAGTATAGTAATGTGTACTTACGACTTCAGAATATGATATAGCATAATTAAATCAGCCTAATTAACCTATGCATCAGTGCAAATGTTTGACTTTTTATTTTATTTTATTTTTTTTTGCAATGAGAACATCTGAAATTTACTCTTAGGAGCCGGCGCTGCAGTGTAGTGTGTAAAGCTGCTGCCTGCAGTGGTGGCATCCCACGTGGGTGCCTGTTCGAGTCCTGGCTGCTCCACTTCGGATCTAGCTCTCTGCTGTGGCCCTGCACCCTCATGGGAGACCCAGAGGAAGCTCCCTGGCTCCTGGCTTGGGATCGGCACAGCTCCAGCCTTTGCGGCTAATTAGGAAATGAACCAGTGGTTGGAAGACCTCTCTCTCTTTCTCTCTCTCTGTAACTCTTTCAAATAAATAAATCTTTTTTTAAAAAAGAAACTTACTCTTAACTATCTTGAAATGTACAATACCCAACTATTAGTTATATTTATGCACACCAAGCAACAGATCTAAAAAATATCAGACTTAATCCTCCTGTTTGAGCCTTTGTACCCTTCAGTTCTCATCTCAGCCTCTGATAACCACCATTTTACTCTGCAGCTATGATTTCTTTATTTTTTTATATTTAACATATAAGTGAATACATGCAGTATTTGTTTCTCTTTATTTCACTTAGTATACTGTTCTTCACTTCTAGCTACATTGTCACAAATAACAGGATTTCTTTAATTTTCTTTAGTTTTTAATGGTAATATTACACATACACACACATATGAACCATATTTTCTTTATCTGATCTTCCATTGATGGACACTTAGATTGATTCCATAAATTGGCTATTGTGAACAGTGCTTTAATGAGCATGGAAGCTCATTTCGTATCTTTTGGGTAAGTACCCAGAAGTGGGATTACGGGATGATATGATAATTCTATTTGTATTCCTTTGAGGAATCTCCACACAATTTTCTGTAATAGCTGTACAACTTACATTCCCACCAACAGTTTACAAAGCCTCCCTTTTCACCGTTTCCTCACCAGCACTTATCTTTCATTATATAACAGCCATTCTAAGAGATGTAAGATGATATCCTATTGTGGTTTGAATTTGAATCTACATAATAATTGGTGATACTGAGCATTTTGTAATGCTATTAGTCATTCTTAGGTGTTTTTTTTTTTGTTTTGTTTTTTTTTTTTTTTTTTTTGAGAAATGTCTCTTTAGGTACCTTCCCCATCTGACACCAGCATTATCCTGATACCAAAGCCAGACAAAGACATCACAAGAAAAGAAAACTGGCCGGTGCTGCGGCTCACTAGGCTAATCCTCTGCCTGTGGCGCCAGCACCCGGGGTTCTAGTCCTGGTTGGGGCGCTGGATTCTGTCCCGGTTTCTCCTCTTCCAGTCCAGCTCTCTGCTGTGGCCCAGGAGTGCAGTGGAGGATGGCCCAAGTGCTTGGGCCCTGCACCCGCATGGGAGACCAGGAAGAGGCACCCGGCTCCTGGCTTCGGATCAGTGCAGCGCACCAGCCGCAGTGGCCATTTGGGGGGTGAACCAACGGAAGGAAGACCTTCCTCTCTCTCTCTCTCTCTCTCTCTCTCTCTCTCACTGTCTAACTCTGCCTGTCAAAAGTAAATAAATAAATAAATATAAAGAAAACTATGGGCCAGCATTCTTGATGAAAATAAATGCAAAAATCCGCAGCAAAGTTTTAGTAAACCAAATTCAACAGTACTTTGAACAGATATTAATCATGATCAAGAGGTATCCCTGGGATACATGAATGGTTCAACATCTGAAAACCAATAAATGTGATATACCACTTTTTAAAAAAATCAAAGGGAACTGGCATTGTGTTGTAATGGGTAAAGCTATCACCTACAACTCCAGCATCCCATATGGGTGCCGGTTCATATCCTGGCTGGTGCACTTCTGATCCAGCTACCTGCTAATGGCCTGAGAAAAGCAGCGGAAGATGGCCAAAGTGTTTGGGCCCCTGCCACCCATGTGGGAAGCCTGGTTGAAGCTCCTGGCTCCTTGGCCCAGTGCTGGCTATTGTGGTCATCTGAGGATTGAACCAGCAGATGGGAGATATCTCTGTCTCTCTCTCTCTCCCTCTCTGGAATTCTGACTTTCAGAATCAATAAATCTTTTGAAAAAATCAAGGACAAAATTTACAGGACATGGAGAAAAATCACTTGACACATCTGAACATCCTTTCATGATAAAAATACTCAACAAATTAGGAATAGAGGGTCTGTACTCCCACACAATAAAGGTCATATACAGTAAACCCTGCTTAACATTATAGTCAAGGGTGAAAAACCGGAATCCTTTCCTCTAAGATTCAGAACAACATAATGATACCCACTCTTGCCACTTCTATTCAATATAGTTTCAGAGGTCCTTGTCAAAGCAATAAGGCAAAATAAAATGAAAGTCATATAAACAGGAAAGAAGAAATAAATGTCACTAATAGCTGATGGCATGATTTTACATACAGAAACCCTAGAAAATCACCAAAAGATGATAAAACTGATCAGTGAATTTACTATATTTGTAGGATACAAAATCAACATTCCAAAATTCTTATACATTAACAGTAAAATTTTTTGAAACAGAAATCAAAAAGAATAATTCCATTTATAACAGTTACAAAAATAAAATAGTATATTTAACTGAGGTGAAAGATTTTTCAAAAAAGACTAAAAATTATAAAACAATGAAAGAAATTGAGTAAGACATAAACAGATGGAAAGAGAGCTCATGTTCATGGATTGGAAGAAATTAATACAGTTAAAATTTCCATTCTATCTAAGGTGATCTACAAAGTCAATGTAATCCTTATCACAATTCCAGTGTCATTTTTCATAGGTACAGAAAAAAAATTTTAAAATCCATATGGAACCATAAAGAACCCAAATATCCAAGGCAATTGTGAACAAAAAGAACAATGCTGGAAGCACTACACTATGCCATTTCAAACTACACTACAAAATGACGGTAATTAAAATGGATGGTACTGGCATAAAAACAGATATATCCACCAAAGAAACAGACTGCCCAGAATTGAATCCATCCATCTATGGTTAACTGATTTTTTTTTTTTTTTTTTTTTTACAGGCAGAGTGGACAGTAAGAGAGAGACAGAGAGAAAGGTCTTCCTTTTGCCGTTGGTTCACCTTCCAATGGCTGCCGCAGCCGGCGCATTGTGCTGATCCAAAGCTAGGAGCCAGGTTCTCCTGGTCTCCCATGTGGGTGCAGGGCCCAAGCACTTGGGCCATCCTCCACTGCACTCCCGGGCCATAGTAGAGAGCTGGCCTGGAAGGGGGGTGACCAGGACTAGAACCTGGTGTGCCGGCACTGCAAGGAGGAGGATTAGCCTATTGAGCCACGGCACCGGCCGGTTAACTGATTTTTTACAAAGGATTCCAAGAATACACAATTAGAAAAAATCTCAATAAAATAGTATTGGAGAAACTGGATACTTATATGAAAAAGAATAAAACTGGCTGTTTATCTCACACCATAGAAAAAATCAACTCAAAATAGTTTAAAAATAAATTAAAAAGCTGGAACTAAAATTACTAGACCCAAAGAGGAAAACTTATGTAACATTGGTTGAGGCAATGATTTTTTAAATTTAACTCCAAAGGCACAGGCAACAAAAGTAAA